AGCGGACGATCTGTGTTACTAACTCTACTAGGAATATCCTTCAAAGGTCTATGGGAATTGGCAAATCCTTTCGTTGAGCTTAAAACTGAACGAATTAAGAAATTTGTTTACGATTCTCTGTTGGCGTCTTCTGATGTTGTTCTTTTACACAACGGAAAATCCGTTGCACCACTTACCTATGATGCTGCTACTGCGGAAGAGTCCACCTTAGAACTTTCAATAACGGAAGACAAGTTATGGATCATTTTAACTGGGTATAAGAAAAAAGAGTCCGCTATAGGCGGTTTAGCCTTCGAATTGTTGATGGAAATCGCCAAGAGACGTGAGCACGGTGTGAATACTATGGATCTGGCGGCGATCACGAAACAGGATCCAAGAAGTATTACAGGACGCATTAAAAAGCTCGGGAATTTGGTTACTGGAGTCCAAATTATTTACAAAGGACATGTAGTGAAACTGATTAAGTTTTACAAATTTGCAGATGAAAAGCCTAAGCGCCTATACGTAAACATGCGCCAGTATCTGCCAAACATAGTTGAAACAGTCAAAAAATCTAAGAACGGAGTGCGGCAAGTAGTGGACTTAAAACGAGAGTTGAAACTTGACAAGGATAAACGGTTAAACAAGGCCTTTATCGCTGCAATTGCTTGGCTAGATGAAAAAAAGTACTTGAAGAAAGTCCTTGTGGTATCACCATCCAATCCAGAGACAAAAATCAGATGTGTGCAATATCTGAAAGACTATGTCACAGAGGAGAAAGACGGGGCTGATTTTGAAAATGATAGTACAGACGAAGGCGAGGAAGAAGAGGATGATGTTATTGAAGGCTTTGATAATGGTAATGCCACCGGAATCCTCCAGGAGGCCAACCTCCTCATCCAGGAAAATACCATAGCAACCAAGGAGTTTACTATGAACAGGTTTTTCCCATTGCAGAACCAAACTTATGCTTTGGCCGAAAAACATGGAACGCAAGGAGTATCGACTATGGAATGTGTTAATACAATTGTAGGTAGCGATTACAGAAGGTCATTCACTAAAAATAGTGAGTACTACCTACAAACAATTGGCAAGAGTATGTCTAAGAAAACACATAATCTAGGGTTCAATTTGGTTCGCGTATATGATTTTGAGGGTAAGAAGAAGTTTTACAGATTGTTTACCGAACATAACTTTAGATTGTTCAGTGGCTCCACGGATCAACAACCTGCTATTACGCTACCGCCAATAAACGGTCAAACAACCTCCCTATCTAGATTAAGCGAGGCTAATTTTATGCCCCTTAACGCAACTCTCCGTTTTACGACTAAAGACGATCAGGAACTGTTTTTTTGGCATGGAGAACTGGATATTCCTGCGACTTCAACAACTACTGCTAGAGGCAGGAAGCGGAAGTCCGTGCAACAGGCTAATGTACGAACACCTAAGAAGAAGAAATCAGGCGTAGAAGCCAATCTCATAGATCTGGAGTCTGTCAGCACAACAGCAGAACCTCTTATTATGGAGGAAGGCACCGGGGAACATGAAAAACTGGTCTGCATTGGCGGCTTTACGGCCAATTCTTTAAAATCTATTCAAAGGCAAAAGGCTATTTTGGATATAGTTAGAAAATATGGCGGTGTGACGTATGTACGTGACCAGCTTTATGAGGATGTGTCGAAGTATCTCGGGACAAAAATGATATTGGACAAGAAAACACTCAGAGGTGATGTAGACCTTCTGGTTGCTGCGAACAAGTTAAAGGTGAACGTCAAAGCCAATGGAAGGCGAGTCTTATACCTACCTTCAATGGATGGAGAAGATATTGAGAGGTATATGAGTTCCGTAAGAGACACCAAAGTGGCATTTTCGAAGGATGTTATCAAGAATACGGATATATATTTTTTCGACCAAACGGAACATAACCGCTTTCACAGAGGAACTAAATCTGCAGAACGTGTTAAAGCTTTCCAGAATAAGGCCAAGCGTGCTGATAAAGCAGCGACAACTGGTCCTGTATCTACTGCAATAAAGGCGAAAACAAGGCGTGCAAGAACAAAAAAGCGGCCCACTTCTACTTCAATTGCTCCTAAAAATGGAATGAAGTCAGAGCCTAGTGAGAAGGCCGCCCTCCCTAAAAAGCGGGGCTCGAAGGGAACAACTAAATCTGCGGAAACATTTAACGTCAGTACAAAAGAGGGAAACAGGGCACTTATTATGGCTGCGGTTATTACAAAAAGTATTAAAGGACAAACGCTTTGGCCTGAAATTGCTCAGCTTTTCCCCAATAATTCTGTCGAACATCTGAAGAAGCAATGTACTTTACGCAGGGTGAAGATGGGTCATAGTGGTTGGAGAGCTTTGATGGAAAAATGGAGGAAAATTATGGTGGATGCTGTGAGAAATGAACGAGCTACCCTTGAAGATGCAGAGCAATTAAATCTCGTCAAACTTGTACACTTATGGATGGCTGAAGATGATGTTAGTGATATGCAGCCCCTTAAATTATACAAGGACTATGAGGAGAATCATCGTAGATATACGCTGATTAAAAATAACCAAAGAGCCAATGTCCATGTAAGTTTAGCGATGTCATCAATGATTCAGCGAGAATCATATCTTCTCAAAAAAACATACACCTACAGCGCTCAAAAGGCCGGTTATTACAATCCAGTTGAAGAGGAGATCAGATCAGTGGTAAGATCGATATTAATTAGTAACTCAAGTATCGAAACGGATGATATTGGTATATTAAAGGAATTTAACAGTGAACAGGTTGATAAAGTTATTCTAGATATGGCTAGGGAACGCCATATCTCCTTTGTCGGATCGTCTAAACTACAATTAACTGACGTCGTTCTTGATCTGTTAAATATGAAAGGCAAATATTGGGAGCTTCAGAAGACGGCTAGATTCCAGAATAAATTAATCCAGCTTTTAAATTCTGAAAGAGCTTTGGCCATAGGAGAAGAGCCATCTAATCATAGCATGCCTGTCCTTGTGGATATGCTAGAATCCGGTGTCATCAATATGACTACTGTTCCGTTGCCTGTAAAGGAGAACTCTATGTATTATGCGACAAGAAAGTATGAAGTCACTGCACTAACACCACCACTGGTATTCTTCGCTAAAAAGAAATTAGTCGAGCCTAAACTACCATTCGAAGCGGTTCCGCGAGGCCAACCATGTTCCCGGCTTTGGGTTGACCCTCAAGGAAAAATCAACGAACAAGTCTGGAAACAGCTTGTTTTTATGACGGTACATGAAATTTTGTTCAATCCCGGTATTACCCTTTCAACTTTAACGAAGCGGTTTCGGAAGTTGGTAAGTCATAGAGAAATCGAAGACATAGTCCGGTGGCTCAAGAATTTAACCCTTCTTGGTGAAACACTATTCGATGGCTTTATCATAAAGCCCAATTGGTATCTAGCCCTTGGTTCATAACTTGAAGTATTGCTATGTAACTATCTAATGCCTGTTTCGTTTTGTACTTCAAAGTTACACATCTCTGTTAATATGTGAAGTAGGTAATAATGTCGCTAAAATTCATTTTTATATAATAAATCCAATAACCTGGATATCCATTCACTCGCAATATGATATCGATCTAAAAAAATGTGGAGTATGAAAGAGCTATCGAATCAATGTATTTTAATTATATCTGACGCTAATTAATCGGCTTTTCCTTGTTTTGTTTCTGACGTCGATCTTCGGTGCGACGATATGTACAAGACTTAAACTGACACATGCGAAACTCTCCAATCTCCTAATTACAACTAAGGCAAATACTATATCGCTCGAAGCTCACAGATATCGTGTTTACTATTCAAACTAACTGAAAACAACTTAGAAATGAGGTTTGCTTTAATTCTTTTGGCTACAGGGTTAGTACAGCGCGCGCTTGGTATATCTTTACATTGGGGAGGTCACAAAGAGGCCTCTTCTGACACTAAAAACTATGAGGTAGCCAGTGTTATCTGGGATCGGTTAGAGCGGCTAAATTCCTCTTCACTAACCAAGGAGCAAGTCCTATTCATTAAGACTGCCGCCATAGTCGGCAGCTTAAGCCCAAAGGACATTTCTCAGCACTCCTTTCCATGGCAGACGGCTACTTCCCACAATATCAAGGAAAACAGTAAACGCCTAAAGGAGCAGATAGGGCAAGGCCTCTCACTAGCGTACCTCAATGTGAAGGACATGGCAGACATTGAATACCTCAAGGAGCAGGTCTACCAAATGGAAATGATGTGGGACGAACTCACCGGTATCATACACCATGCCCTAAAGGTTACGATCAGAAACAGACACAAGGAGCTCAATTGGCTAGTTAACACCTATTTGAAATTCTACATATTCAGTGCTGAGAAAATTAACAAAAAGTTGGCTGTGAACAAAGGGGAGCCAAAGAAGATGGTAGGCAGCTTGATGAGTATACAGCTCGAAGCGCACAAATTGATGAACCAATATATCAAAATGCTTCAACGTAAAAAGACTAACGTTGAGGAAAAACCACAATGGAGATCTTTCGATTCGCCGCAGCCAGTTCCAGAGGCTGACCCGATGGAGGTTGAAAAGTTGGATCTTGACCATCTGGCCAAAGACGTGCCATTGGACAAGGATAATACATTGGCATTATTACTAAAGTTTAAGGTGTTGAGTGCCTATCAAATCTTCCCAACTGTTCCCTTCTGTGCTGTCGCCAACATAATCTTTGTTGCAGGAAACTTGTGTGGTAAACTCTTCGCGGGTGTGACAAGTAGACAAGCGGAGATTTTAAGGGAACTCTCGAAACGTATGGCCTAGCCTAATGGTGATGTTTTAAGGATATAAAGTTTATAAAGACTAGCTGTATGCATAAATATATTCTAATACTAGCATAATGTTGTAGAGTCTGGCCGTACTTACTGTGCCTGAGTCGATAAGGCATAGAGCAAATACGATAGCCGCCCAAGCATATAATTGATCACATGATATTATAGTGTCGTAATTAGACACAGTTGATGAATGTAAATCAAGGAATCGGGCGTGTGGTCTAGTGGTATGATTCTCGCTTTGGGTAAGCGAAGTTGCGGTTCACCGCGGCTTAACTACTAAAACATGTGAGAGGCCCTGGGTTCAATTCCCAGCTCGCCCCCTTTTTTGCCCGAAAGTCCATCGTATCTATTCTCTGCGGATAATATGAAATAATTTTTTTAGAAAACCATCCTCAACCTTCCTTAAACTCCCGAGCGTAACATCCATCTTGACTGCAAATAGTATCATTATATCTATTCATCGGATGCAGAAGATGTATTCACGAAAGCGAACGTCTAGCGCTGTAGAACACAGCGCCCCATACAGGAAGCCGATAATTGCTCCATCTGCAGGAAGCGCAAACACATCGACTCAGAAGGTATGTTTATTGTTTGACGGACCGTTGCCTAATGAGTGCAGAAAACTAACCAGGTTACCAGGGGGGTTCCTTGTTTCAACGAGTTAAATCCTTTTTCCACGGTGAAGGACACCTCAGTCATTTGTCTCAGAGCGATGCTGCTAGTTCGGATCAGAGGCTTTACCATGTCCCTGGCGGATTCTACAATGTAGATGCCCGGAATCCTGTGGTTAAGCTTCCTAGGGCATTAGAGGTGGGCACAGCCGAAAGTAGTAGGAATTTCAAAGATACCTTGAGTGATGGAGAGGAGGATGAGCCTAATATCTCAAATGCAAAGTTGGCCCAGTTCTTCAGAGAAAAAGGTGATGCACCGCTCACAGAAATTGAATACGAGGGTGTCATGTCATTGATCAAAAGAAGCCAATCAGTAGCTTCCACCCCCGACGGTAAAAACGTTTTGCCGAAGGAGGTTGGCGAGCTAAAAGTTCTTCGGTCAACTTCGGACATCTCTTACACTCCTCTGAGAGCGCCGTCTTACACACCAAGATATGGAAACAGTGACCTACACAATAATATTTCCGCAGGTACTTCTGCCCCACCCACAAGGCGCCGTGTATTCGACTATTCAAGACTTCCATCGCCATACAGAACAACTGTCTACAAGTACAGTGCCGCCAAAGTGCCATCACAAGGAACGTCAACAGCTAGAAAGACAAGTGAGAATGCTGTTAGTAAGCCGATCAGGAGTACACACGCCCCTAAGAAATTGAGCCATACAGCTTCTGCTTTGATATCCTTACTCGATGGGGAGGGCAAAGCAGAAGTCTCTGAGAGCAGTGCATATGCAAGTCTGTCCAATCCATATTCGTCCCATATTTCTCATACGCACAGAGGCAGACCCTCATCTGCGGTCAAAACCATTGAGTCTTCAACAAAACCTGTTAATACAGAGACAGCGCCGATAACATCTACAGCGTTAGAGGAGTTGTCAAATGCGAAGCAGGCTGCACCATCGCCTGCTACACAACCGGTTTCGGGGTTTAAACCTTCTAGACCATCATCGCTGCGCGTTGAAGTGACTGTGGAAAAGTCGCCTGAAAAGTCACCTCGGCAGCCTGTTCCTCAGAGCTCGAAATTTAACTTTTCTTTCCAAAAGCCCAAAGGCCACAATGTGGATTCTCTGTCTGAGAAGCCACACACTACATCTGATGCAACCAACACATTCTCGTTTCAACCTCCGGCCAAGGTAGAAGAACCTAATACCCGCGATGCTACCCTTAATGGGTCCACGGAAAATAATATATTGGGGAGTTCACTGCAGCCGAATGGGTCGTTCAACTTCTCTAATGGTCCTCAGAAAGTCTCCAACGTTCATACCACAGAAGATAACAACAATTCGACGTCCCATACCCCCTTTGCATTTTCTTTCTCGAAACCTAACTTACCCAAGGGTGATATGTCATTCGCAGAGAACACCGCCGCATCCACCGACGGGGATCCATTTCACTTTGACTTCGGGACCTTACCTGTGTCTGGAATTGATCCTTCGAGCGTAGACGAAGAAAAGGTCAAACGCCTGAAATCGACCTTCACTTTTTAGCTTTCAACTAATTCTCTGGTCGTTATCAATCGTGTAATTCTATACCTTAAATAGACTACTAACTAGCACGTGGTGCCCACTCAGAGCCTGCGTTCAGTGCTAGGTCTCATGCGTTGTATTCTTTTGCTCTGCCGCTTTCATTTGTGCCCAAGCGGCGTAAGCCTTACCGTTTGAGATTAGTGGATTATCCTGCTTGAAGTAATATGGGCCAGAAAACGTTGAATATTGTCTCTTGTCTAAGCTATAAACTCTTTCCATTTCTTCCTTATAGACGTCCTCTATAATCTTAACATCTCCCTCATCTATCTTGGTGTTGTTCGACACAGTATAGAAATCTGCATCGAATGGCCGAATGCAATTACCGACATAAAAGAGATTAGATGTGTGCCCCTCACCCAATTCGAATTCGGATTTGGGATCACGTAACCTTCGTAGGTGTTCCGTAAGCCGCCTGGCTAACTGTGGACGGTCCGGCTGCCGCCCTTGTTGATGTGGCCTGTTACTCTCCTCCTTTCCACCCTGGGACGGCATAGATTGGGCCAACAGAGTTTCCCCGGCACGGCAGTCACACCGACTGATCGCTGATTTTGCGTCGCAGTCTAGAATGGAGGGCAGTTATATACACAGCAAACTGCAGATCGACCCACGCGGCCTGTGACCCACGACACACTATCGTAGCCGCAGAAGCTTACGCTCACAAAAGAAAGCTCTGTACATAAGGTCCTAATTACATAGAGATCTTACAACACTTTCTGCTTCATGAAGAAGGTGCGCAGGTGGTTGACCTGCCAGAAGCATGTAGCACCAAGCACGAGCAGCGTCATAACCGCACACCATACTACCCACGAATTGGCGCTCTCAGACACATCACGGAATTGAGCCTCACGTTCACGGACCAACCGCTGCTCGTTGCGGATCGTGTTCACCTTTTCGCCTAGTTGCAGCACGCGCGAATGCAGGTGCTGAAGCTTGTCCTTTTTCTTTGGGTCCAGCAGCAGGTCTGAGCCGATCTCGAAGTCGAGACTGATCTTTGTCTTGGTGCGTGCCATCCACCCTTGGAACTGCGGCTGGAAGCACATCTTGTGCTCTCCGGAGTCAAACGCATTGAACGTGGCTTCGCCGCTCGACGGCAATTGCTGATGCATAACACGGTGGTTGTCATCAAACACCTCCTCCACGTCGATCATCATCATTAGTTCGCCGTCACGCATGTTACGGTACGTTCCAGACTGAGAGTCATACGATTGGACGTTGTACTTAACGTTCAAAAGCGCACCCTTCATTAACTCACTGTGGAAGCACTTACGGTCTCCACCATTAACGTAAAAGTAGAACCCACTGACATGCAGCGGCAACATGCAGAGCACTAGTACCTGTAGAAATGCTTTCACGTTCATCCTGGAAGCCTTCAGCGCCTGGTCTATAGATATACTGAAATTCCAGGGGGAACGAGATCTTCAACTCGGTGTCCATATCTGGTTCGCTGTTCGAATTTTTTTTACTTCCAGGTACAGCCTGGAGGAAAGCATCAGATAGGAGGCTTGGAGGCGGGGAAGGGGCGATGGCAAATCGATTGTTGCAGGATCCGTTTAGCGTACTTAAGGAATACCCTGAGACGCTAACAGATACATTTGAAATCCCGCTGCAATGCGACTGCCTGGAGTTTAGTCCAGGCGGCGACTATCTGGCCGTTGGATGCTCCAATGGCTCAGTGGTGATCTACGATATGGACACGAAGAAGCCGATATCGGTGTTGGGAAACCACGGGGGCGGGCATGTACGAGCTGTACAATCGGTTGCCTGGTCGCAATGCGGAAGGTATCTATGGAGCAGCTCGCGGGACTGGAGGGTGAAAATGTGGGACCTCGCTGCAGTGGGGCGGCAGAACCGCGAGCATATGTTTGACGGACCGGTGTGGATGTGCCGAGTGCTGGCGGGCGCGCAGCCGCGGTGCATAGCGACGGTGGTTGAGGAGCGATGGGCACTGCTTGTGGACTTTTCAGCTGGCGGCGCGAACGTGCGAGAGGTGCGGGACCCGACAGAAGACGCAACCGCAGAATTGGGACACACGCTCGTGACGTGCCTACATCCGCGAGCACAGGATGTGGTCATCACAGGGACGTCGAAGGGCTGGGTCGTGATATATCGGCTTCTGCCCGACGGCGGGTTCCAGGCCTTGCACAGTGAGTTCATCAGTAACTGCAACATAAAGAACATCGAGGTGGCACCGTATGGGGAGCGGATGGCAATCAACTGCTCGGACCGTACCATTAGGCAGTATGCGCTAAGCATACAGGATACGTCCGCGACGTTGCAGCTGGAACACAAGTACCAGGACGTCATAAACAAGTTACAATGGAACTCTGTTGCATTCAGTAATCACGCAGGAGAGTACCTAGTCGCATCTGCACATGGATCGTCGGCACACGATCTCTATATGTGGGAGACAGCATCGGGTACGCTTGTACGCGTGCTAGAAGGGCCCGAGGAGGAGCTGCTCGATATAGACTGGAACTACTACAACATGTCCATTGCGAGCAACGGCCTGGAATCTGGCAACGTCTACGTGTGGTCTATTGTCATTCCGCCGAAGTGGAGCGCACTGGCGCCAGATTTCGAGGAGGTAGAGGAGAATATCGAGTACCGCGAGAAAGAGGATGAGTTTGACCAGCTGGACGAGTTGGGGCACCAGCTGGAACAGGACGAAGCCGAGGAGGTCCAGATCGATCTACGTACGCGAGATCGGTTTGATGTGCGCGGGAATGACCTTGCGGTAGAGCACTTTGTCATTCCGACAGACTACGAGAGCATTTTACTGATGAACCGCATGCAAGAAGACCATGCGGAAAGGCACTCCGCTTGAAGACGTACTTTAAGGGATAGAGGATACCGCTGCGGGTACCACAGCGCTACTGGGTACGCTGCCTATGGACCGCCTCATCTGTATATAGCGTTTGTACTGCTTCAATGAGACCGTCAGCATTCCAGTGTTTCTTAATGCTACCGTAAGCGTAATCCATTCGTACAGCAAAAAAAATCTTAGGCGTAGAAATATGTAACAAAATATTGTATATTTTGATCAGTGATATTTTGAAGTGTGCTTCGGGGCTAGGTGAATATAGGAAGCTAGGAGGAACTATGGAGGGTACTGGGAGCCCATTTA